TGAGCGCCATTAAAAAAATCAGCTGCTAATTGGAACGTCGCGTTGGCGGAGGTATCAGCGGGTTCACTTTGGCAATTCATGTCGAGAGACGTGGTTGTAGAAGTCCTTCAACCTGATGATGAGCTAAAAGGCTCGAAATCCGGATCGTTGCAAAACAACTTACTGTGAGTAGGAAATATCTTTTTAAAAAGGATTGAACACCACACTCACTCCATTATTTATCATTTCTTTGAAAAACTTTTTACATATTTTCTAGTTACGATTTCATTGGCTCTGCAATGGGACCCAGAACCTGTATAATAAGAAATATGGGTTGCCATTTGGCCTCAACAGCCTTAGTTATAGAAAAGAGAAGCACTTCAATTTCCTAAGGTTGGCTCATATCTTATCCACCATCTAGAAAACTAGGTAAAGTAGTGGTATAAAATCATAAGATGGACTCGACTTCTCAAGCATGATCGGAAACCCATAATCTACGGCACATTATCGTCCTAAAATCTTTCACCACTAGATATTTTCATGCAGTGAGGGGCAGGATAATGCAGGGGTGGGCTTCCGCATAAAAGGAACTTCGGGAGGAACTAGGTTTTAGGAATGCCTGCTGAGCTGCTTCATTTTTGTACAGGTTGCTGCAGTTAGGGAAGCTGTTCCCTACCTTTATCACCTTCATGCCTGATGACTTAACGGATTGGTCGTTTGGAGGACTAAGACATTCCTACTGAGGGTAGTCAGGATCCTCAATACTCTACTCAGAGGGTAGCATGACTGAGTTCTGACTGGAGCACTGAATGTTCTTCACAGCTGGCGTGAAAGTTCTCCGTATCTATCGTTATGGTTTCACTCCGGGCTACCCGCAAAGAAGAAATTAAAGCTTTGGAACTTCAGGCAGATAACCTTCTGGGGGATGACATGTCCCAAAATTCAGATTTGATGAGGCATTCCAAATTAAAATACCCCATAAATCAGACTGGGGAAAAAGCGATCCAGTTTATGCTAAATCTGGTTAATCTGGTATTCAAATGGCTCCAAGTATTGGTCATGATCTTGCATTTATGAAAATAAACCTTAAAAAAATCGAAATTTTTTACCCCCCTCTGATGACCAACCTTGATCCGCCCTTGATGTAAATACTTACTTGACTCTTTTTAATTAATTTCTCATCTGTCTGTACAATTTTAAGATTCATCCAAATATCCTGGTAGAATAGTAGTCTTCTAGTAATGTACATTTACCTATTAAAAATCTCTTGGGAGATCTGAAGTAATTTTAACTCTTTTGAACTAGTTAGTGATAATGGCTTATCACTAATTTATATGATGTGGGCTGAATAGAAACAAGGGTCAATTAAATAAAAGACAAATAAATGCACATCAAGTTATTATTTAATTCAATACAATAAGCTTAAAATTACAACAGAAAATTATTTTTATAAAACTAGATGACCACAAGTTTTTGCCCAAATTGTTCGAGTCTTATTAGAATAACACGTTAAAAAGGTGTCATGAGTAAATAAATATGTACAAAACAACAGATAAAAACAAACTCAAATAATTTTTTCAAATGTTCGAAATCAGTAAATTTTAGCACTAGAACTTATAAATTAGAAATAATTAAAATTATGGCAATCGTAATATGGCAAGCACGTTGCTTTATTAATTAAAAACTTAGTCGACAACGAACAATATACAAAGAAAATTTATTGCACACAAATGCATACTTAAAGGGATCGGTTTAATATAAACATTGTCCTAGCACGATTTGGAAATCAGTTTTTGAAAGCATTGGTAACTCAACTGATTCCGAAAGGTGTTAGTTCTTAACCTAAACATTTCTTCTCAATATCGTTTTGCCAAGTTCACGAAGATAAGCGGTATTTGCTTTACAAATCAACCGTAATTGAGCATTTTGTACTAGAAAAATTTCGAGCTAATACCATGGTTATCTCAGTGATATTATATTTGTTTTAAACGAGAAGGTTGTTTTCGGCGCATTTAGGACCCTTGGAAGGCCAGTTGCATGCGCCCAATTTGGAGTCGAACGCCAAATGGATGGGGCAATCGAATACGTTGACTGTGTACCGTTTCTTCCATTCGTCCCAGTTACAAGAATAGAATTTGTTGCAGAGATGTGGGTGCCTGAAAAGACCTGGCCTCTGGCAGTCGACGTCCAAGGTGTTTGTAAGAGTCCTTCTGGATGAAACCGATGACACCTTCCTTGGCGATGTGGTCGAAACTTCGTATTCGACGGAGCTCACGTCCAGCGGCTGGCCGGTAGTAGTGAACACCCTCTGTACCTTGTGTACTGGTTTGATTTCTACAGTCGGAGCACTAGCATCGTCGTAGTCAAAGTTAGTCAAATCGGCTGGTAGGGGTGTGCTCGACGACGGTAAATATTCCCTCGATGGTTCGGCCAGTGTAGTTGACGGAGTGAACAGACCACCTCTCGTCCTCGAGTTCTTAGACAGATCTAATGTTTTGGTGTTGGATTTGCAACTACATTCTGCACCGAGTTTTCCGACCAAAATTGGGTTGAAATCACTGAGTCTGGATACGACGACCACCTTAGACTTCTTCCTTCCGGTTAAGGGTTCCCTTTCTTTTTTGATAACACCGACGATAGCTTCACCGTCTTTCAGCGATGAAATCGTAGTCGAAGATAGGCCTTGTCGCAAAACACCTTTGTCTCCTGAACTGACAACTTCTCCGTAACTGCCGGATACTGCTTTGAGCAATTTAGCGTCGTCTTCTTCTCCTTCGATCTCCAATTCCGTACCGGCTACCGAGCCTGTAGGCGTAAATGAAGTTAAGACCAGTGCAGGAGCGGTAGGTTCAAAAGTGGTCGAGTAAAAAGGTCTGACTGTCGATGTAACAAAGTCTGGATAGTTTTCAGTAGTTACGACAGGTTTGACTCTAACTTTCTGTTTCCTGACGTAGTACCCGCCTCCTTCAGATGATCCACCTTTGACTCTAACTCTTTTAACAACTGGGGCGACAGTAGTGACTTCCACGACTTGTTCTGGCGTCGACGAAGATAACTGTACTCCCGATTTAGGTACATCGAATTGTCCGCTTTCCTGATAGCCGAGTGCTGGTACAACAGAGCTAGTGAAATAATTTTCTTCTTCTACAGTATTAACGTATGTTTGGACTGGCTTTTTAACGAACGTCCTCACAGTTGTGGACACTTCGGGGACGACGATCGGGGCGAATGACGACGAGGGTACTTCTTGTTTATACGTGTTATCAAAACCTTGATTAACTTTAATTCCTGGGAAGTTTAAGTTTTCTTCCAATTGGACGGCTGGCTTGTCATATTTGTAACCGGTATTGCCTTGACTTGAGAAGGAGCTACTGAAGTACTGTCCCTTAGGAGCAGCATCCAAATGTTTTTGAGATTCGAAATACTCTTCGAAATACGATTCTGGTTTATCCGAGGATACTACAGCTTGGAATCCGGCCGGCCTTACCCGCACAAGCTTGTGTTCAACAAATGGTACTTCTGTGCTAGTAACAAATGGTACAACCTTTCCACCGTAATAATAATCTTTGTGAACAGAAGGTGATTCGAAAGAGAAACCAAATGATGATGGCTTACTTGGTTCAACATATTGAACTGAACTAAAAGGTACAGCAGGAGTGGTGGATACCCTAACTGCAGGTCGAGGTGTAGTAGGTACTTTGAAAACGGCTGGTTCAGGATTAACGTAACTAAAACTGTAAGTTGGTTTTGATTCGGGCTTACCGTACTCCACAAATCCATTGTAGAGTGAATGGAACGAAGGAGAGACGAACTGCTTAGGTTTTTCATATCTGTAACCAAATGCAAGTTTAGAATCTTGGCTGCCATATCGAACTGGCTCATATGGCAACTGTGTGGTGCTAGTGACTGTAACTGGTCTAACAGTCTGTGAAGTTACAGCCGGCTGGTAGCTGTAGCTAACTACAGGAGGAGCCTGTGTACTTACAGAAACAGTTTGCAATGGTTTAGGTTGAACGAAATTGTAGTTCAACACTGGTTTTGCATCGAACGTTTTGACGTATTGTACAGGATTTAACGGAACGGAGGGTTGGCTTGTAACGAACGGAACAACTGGCCTGACAGTCTGGGTTTTGACGAACGGCTGATAACTAACTACTGGTGTCGCTGGAGTGGTAACGGTCTTTACTGCTGGTTGGTAGCTGTAGCTAACTGATGGTGGTGCTGGAGTACTAACGGTCTTTACTGCTGGTTGGTAGCTGTAACTTACTGATGGAGGTGCTGGCGTACTAACAGAATATGTATTCACCGTTTGGGGTTTGACATAACTGTAACTAAACACAGTTTTCGGTTTCAAAGGTTGTGCGTACTGCACAGAGGGCACATGAACGACTGGGCTCACAGTCTGAGTTTTGACGAATGGTTGGTAGCTCACTGCTGGTGGTGCTGGAGTAGTAAAAGTCTTTACTGCTGGTTGGTAGCTGTAACTAACTGATGGTGGTGCTGGAGTACTAACGGTCTTTACTGCTGGTTGGTAGCTATAACTTACTGATGGAGGTGCTGGCGTACTAACAGAATATGTATGCACCGTTTGGGGTTGGACATAGTTATAACTGAAGACTGGCTTAGGTTCCAATGGTTTTACATATTGCACGGGGTTCAAAGGAACAACCGGTTTGCTTGTTACAACTGGAACAACAGGTCTCAGAGTCTGGGTTTTGACGTAGGATTGATAGTTTACTACGGGTGGTGCTGGAGTACTAACAGTCTTTACTGCTGGTAGGTAGCTGTAACTAACTGATGGAGGTGCTGGCGTACTAACAGAATATGTATGCACCGTTTGGGGTTGGACATAGTTATAACTAAAGACTGGCCTAGGTTCCAATGGTTTTACATATTGCACGGGGTTCAAAGGAACGACCGGTTTGCTTGTTACAACTGGAACAACTGGTCTCACAGTCTGTTTTTTGACGTAGGATTGATAATTGACAACGGGTGGTGCTGGAGTGCTGACGGTCTTTACTGCAGGTTGGTAGCTGTAACTAACTGATGGCGGTGCTGGCGTGCTTACAGAATAGGTGTGCACTGTTTGAGGTTTGACATAACTATAACTAAACACCGGTTTTGGTTCCAATGGCTTTACGTACTGCACTGGGTTCAAAGGAACAACAGGCCTGCTTGTTACGACTGGAACAACAGGGCTTACAGTTTGTGTTTTAACGAATGGTTGATAGCTAACGACTGGCGGCGCTGGAGTGCTTACATATGTTTCAGTTCTTACAGGTTGGTAATTGTAACTGACTGGTCGTTCTGTTTGTGTTTTCACGGCCGGTGAACTGTAAGATACTGTAAGAGATGGCGGAGAAACTGCTACGGGCTTAAATGGTTGAGGCTGATGGTAAGCTACAACTGGTTTTACTTCAGCAGTTTTTACGTATTGTACTGGGTTGTACGGAACAACCGGTGTGGTGGAAACAAATGGCCTAACTGTCTGAGTTTGGACAACTGGCACGTTACTGAAACTGACTGGAGCTACCGATGGTTGAGGGGTAGTTACATGATGTACTGTTTTAAATTCCGGAAGTTCGAATTTAACTGCAGGCTGTGGATAGCTGTATCCGAATGAATCTTTGACGACTGTCTGATGATATTCAACTGCAGGTCTAACAGGTGTATATTGAACGGGATTGTAGGGAACAACAGGTGTGCTGAAAACACTAACCGGCCTAACTGTTTGTGTTTCAACAAAAGGCTGGTATTTAAATGCTGTTCCTAGTGAATTCTGAGGATGTTGATAATGAACATTCGGTGCGGGTGTACTTACAACGAATGTAGGCTGAAGAGGCTGAGTTTTGTACACAGGCTTTTGGTATGTGTAGCTTACCACTGGAGGAGATGGAGTGCTAACTTGTACGGGTTGAACGTACTGCACGGGATTTAGTGGTACGACCGGCCTAGATGTAACAGTTACCGGTCTGGCAGTCTGAGCTGAAGCGCAAGATGTGCAGACAGGCTTTTTCAATGATACGCCACCCGCATATGATTGTGGAAATTGAACAAAGGTCGTTTCTGATTGAACTGCTGGTTGAAAATAGTTATAATCAGTATGAACGACTGGAGAAGGCGTTACCGTCAATGGTTTAGGCGTTTGAGCCACTGCACACGTTTTGCATGGAACTGATGCTGGTTGAGGATATTTGACGTTATACTGAACTGGATTTAACGGAACAACGGGTGTACTAGATACAGTTATAGGTTTAAACGTGTAACTAACTGGTGGTGAGGGGGTGCTGACGACTGGATGTTCAAAGTGTACAACTGATGGCCCAGCATTTACAAATCTTGTTCCGTACGTATTGACTTGGTTTAATGACGACAAATGGAGTTCAGGTTTAGAATAACTGTATCCTACAACTGGCTGGAGGTGTTCTGTTTTCACAACCGTCGGCTGGTGATAAGATAGGACCGGTGGAGCTGGTGTCGATGATGGACTGTACGCCACAGTGCTAGAAACAGTGAAAGGTTTCACAGTAGACACGACGGGTTGCTTGTAGCTGTAATTGACTACAGGTGGGGCAGGAGTACTTACGACAACGGGTTGGAACTTGTGTACAACAGGCTGAGGCGTTTTAACATATTGCACGGGATTAAGAGGAACAACCGGAGCAGATGTAACTGTGACTGGACTAACTGTAGGTGTTTTTTGGTAATGGTATCCTACAATTTGAGGGGCCGGTGTTGTGACTACTACGGGACTAACATGCGGTTGTAAATACTGGACTGGTTTAAGAGGAACGACGGGAGCACTCGTAACAGTAATGGGTGCTACACTGACAGAGTGTTGAACGTATCCTTGATCTTGGACGGAAAATTTAGTAGGGCCGTAAGAATGAACGACAGCAGATGCCGGTTGATACAGATGGGCTTGATTGACTCGGAGTCCAAAAGTATTAACTGGAGCAGATAGTTTGTATCCACTTTGATAGTATCCTCCACCGTAGTCTCCGCGAGCATCATGAACATAGGCGCCATTTCCGTATTGATCAGTTCCTTTGTATAGATTAGTTACATACTGAGGGCTACCTTGACCTACTGCGTATTTCCCTCCGTAGAAGCTTCCTCGGTAGTTTCCTGTATTATCAAATCTATAAGCACCGCCAAATCCAGGGACATATTCACCACCAAAATCGCCTCTGCTGTCGTGCACGTATGCGCCATTATCAAGTCCAGTGACTACAAAATTTCCTCCTGTTTTGACATCATAACTACCTTTGTTGTCATGAACGTAAGCTCCGCTATTTAATCCTACACCTGCCCCAGAAGTGTAAAATGTTCCAGTCTTAACTCCCGCTAAAGATGTTCCAGGTACGAAACCACCAGTAAGGGTGCCAGGTGTAAATGACCCTCCAGTCTTTACGTCTGAAGAATACTTCGATAAGCCGGTGACATATTCCCGACCATCGTGAACATATTGCCCACCATTGTCACCGGTGGGATCATGAACGTAAGCGCCTTCTCCAGCCGAGCCTCCACCACCAACATTAACGCCTGTTGCTTTAGAAACAAAAACATTACCGCCAAATAAAGAATTAGGGTAATAATCTCCCGTGGAAACATAATATTCTCCGCTACCCTTATATTTATCTCCGAGTCCTTGACTGGGATAAGAACCACTACCTTTAGGTACAAATGCAACGCTTCCACTGCCTCCTGTCTGCACATATGTACCGCTCCCCTTATAGCTTCCACTATCACCTTGATGGACGTACGGACGTTGGTCTCCTTCTTGATGTACATAAGGAACGTCTTGATGAACGTATGCTCCACTATCTCCTTGCTGTACGTAAGTACCGCTTCCCTTGTAACTTCCTCTATCACCTTGTGGTCCGAATACAACGCCTCCACCGCCTCCTGTTTGTACATAGGAACCACTTCCCTTGTAACTTCCGCTATCACCTTGCGGGCTGTATGCACCGCTTCCACCGCCTCCTGTCTGCACGTATGTACCGCTGCCTCTGTAACTTCCGCTATCACCTTGGTGGACGTACGGACTTTGTTCTCCTTCTTGATGAACATAAGGAACGTCTTGATGAACGTATGCACCACTATCTCCTTGTTGTACATAAGTACCGCTTCCCTTGTAACTTCCTCCATCACCTTGTGGTCCGAATACAACGCCTCCAACGCCTCCTGTTTGTACATAGGTACCACTTCCCTTGTAACTTCCGCTATCACCTTGCGGGTTGTATGCACCGCTTCCACCGCCTCCTGCCTGAACATATGTACCACTTCCTTTATATCTTCCGCTATCACCTTGGTGGACGTATGGACTTTGTCCTCCTTCTTGGTGGACGTATGGAACACCTTGATGAACGTAAGCACCATTATCTCCTTGTTGTGCGTACCCTCCACTTCCTCTGTAACTTCCTCTATCTCCTTGATGTACATAGACTCCGTTATCTCCTTCCTGTGCGTATCCTTCACTTCCCTTGTAACGACCGCTATCACCTTGCTGGCTGTATGCACCACTTCCCTTATAGTTTCCACTATCACTTTGATGAACGTACGCTCCACTATCTCCTTGGTGTAAGTACGGAACTTGGTCTCCTTCCCGATGGACGTAGGGAACATCTTGATGAACGTATTCTCCTCCCGAATCACCTGTGGGGTCGTGAACATAAGCTCCGCTATTGTCACTATTTGAGCCTCCAAAATATCCAGGTTGGCCAACTCCCGATAGGCTTCCAAATGCACTGTAACCAGATCCCGGGTATGTTCCTTGCGTTTGGCTCGCAACACCCGAGAGCAAGGTGGTACCTTAATAACCAAATTAAAATTATTATTAAATATATTTTATATTTATTTTACGTTTGTTACCTAAAACATGACCTCCGTCTACTCCTTGTATTCTTCCTCCAGAAACATGCACATCAGAAACTTGGGCGTAAGCCGGACGAAGACGCCCTTCTAAGATATCCCCTGGGTAAAGAGTACCGCTTCCGAAAGTAGAGAAAGACGTACTTCCGGAAGAGCAACCGGGCACTTTCCAGGGCCAGTCACACACGAGGCTGTTTCCGTCGAATACCAAACCGAAAGGACAACGGAATTCGTATGCCGTCGGCGGAGTCTTGCCGTCTCTGTGGTGGTCGAGACAAGCGAAAAACCATCTGCAGTTCTCAGGATCAGCGAAATAACCCTCAGAGCTGCAAGCGTACCTAGACCTTGGAACCGGTGCAATCTCGCTGGAACCTAGAAAGTAAAATTGTTAAAATAATTCAAAAATTTACTTTTTACTAAATAACACATCTTAACCAATCACGTTTTCAACTAGGTTCACATGAAACTCGTTCATAATTTGCAACCAAGTTCAGAAAAGGAACCGTTTCAACATTACACCTATATACAGGGGACCTATCTAGCTATTATCTGAATGAAATTGAAAGAACATTTAAGATCAATTTTTTAATCAATTTATCAATTTTTTATTGAAATATGGGAACAAAAACCTGTTCAAATCGTGTGAACTGGTTTTTACTGAAATATAGGTTATAATTTGAAATGAACGTCTCCAAACTCTGAACTAAGTTTAACCCACGCTCAACTGCCGTTTCAACGTTGAACCAGTTTCACCATTTGAACTCGGTTCAAGATTTTTAAAATAATAATATTTATTTGTACTTTGTACATGTGTTACACATTAAAAAAACACTACGACCAGAACTGCACCCGGAAGATACATGTTATGAGGAGCCAGACAATCCTAGCACTCAGTTTGTTGTTGGGTTCTGGCGAGGGGTTCACGGGGCCGTCATCTTTTGAGGCGACATTGAAGATTCTTGGGATGGAGAATCCTTCAGCAATACAGCATTAGAATTAGGGTTAAGATGAGTTGAAAGATTGGAATGGAACTTGAAGAAGGGGAGATCAATTATTTGAGGAAGGAGATGCTAAGGCCATTGTGGTTAGTGAGGGTGGTGACATTACGTACGGACTTTAGAGAATTCTTCTGATGAAGTTTGATTGGAAATCTTGAATACGTTAGATATTAGTTGGTCCAACAGTTTTGCTCCATATGTCCAAATAGGTCGAAGTAATGTTTGTGTACATAGTTTGTTATTTACTGCCATGTCTGATTTCGGCCTTTTAAGTCTTCGTAGTTGTCCAATTCGCCTATTTAATTCTTGTCGCTTCAGTTTTGGGTGAGCATTTCTCGTCAGTCTACTGTTTACGTATATCTTTTACTTGTTGTGCGGTATTTCTTTATTGCTAATGAAAGGATGGGTTTGTTCTCGTTCTTCTTCATTTTTCACATTGTGCACCGTTTTTCATTGAGCTCAAGATACTCCTGGATATTGGAGCTGGCTTGGATAGGATTGAAGTTAAGAGATAAAATTGCAGCAGTATAGTATGTATATATAGGTGTCACTGTATCAGCAGGTCAGCAGTATAAATTGTATACAGGATGGGACTTCTTCCTCGTGGAACGCCCGCCTGGATCCTACTGACTTCCGAAAATTCGATGCCTAAGCAGGGTCTAATTTTAAGATGATGAGAACCCCCTCCCCATTGCCAGACCCTGTCAAAAGATTGGGACATGTCTAAGAATGCACCTGAACGGTAATCTGTTCTATAAAGCTGCGTACTCACTATGTACGCGAATCAGGATCATCTTTAGTATGTACGCTTCTGCGCTCAAGGCGTGAAACTGTTTGCGAACATTCGAGAGCATTCCAATGGCTATTGGTTTTTGGGTGACCTGAAAGTGGAGCGCAGTAGGTTTGTGAACGGCACTGAGGACCTTATATAGTGTGTACCGCTCTTATAACCTAACATCACATTGTGCTATCTCCAAAAGCGTGGAGTGCCCAAAGGAAAAATGTCTCGTCCTTATCGAACTATACCAAAAATAGCCATTATTGTGGGATCTTAAAGATTCCAATTGTAAAAAATAGAACCCGAAAGAAGAAGCATAGCGAGAAATTGGTTAAAAAAATTAATTAAATTGGAAGTCATCGAAATTTGCTCGCCTAAAACGAAGGGGCTTTCTATAATCTAAAGCCAAATAATGGAAAAGCTGCCATTATCTCGGACACATGATAATCTTTCCACCTTCGGGTGAATACTGCGGATCTCTTGCGGAGCGACTGTGTTCGTGCCCTCGTCTCTACTTGAGCGCTATTGGTTCGCGAACAGAGTGGGTTCGCAGCTTTAGTAATCTCTCGTTCCAGAGGCAATAGTTCTAACAACCCTCAAATATTGCTGAATCGTGGAATGGCGAGACGGAAACCAAACTGAACTCGATCCAGTGCTGAACTGAGTTTAAACAGGTTAGTGTAATGAGATCAGTTCAGTGTTAAGAAAAAGAATTCTTGGTTTAGGAAGACATTCTCTTATTATTGGAGGAAGAAGTTTTTCTGGATTTTGTTGGACACCACTCCTTAGTAAGTAAAGATTTTTTGTAAATTTTACTTTATTGCCAATATATTTCTTCTTACCTTTACAGGCAGATGCATCGGGAAGAGAACCAGGCCAGACGCACACTTCGTAACGTTCGTCGAAAGCAAGACCTGCTGGGCAGTCGTATTCAAATACCGTAAAATCAGGCGAGTACTGGTTGAATTTCACGCAACGGTAAAACCTTTAAAAAAAGGCAAAAATGTTTAGTTTTTGTTTAATTAAGACTATGTTAATTCATACCGACCTGTTACAACCTGACGGATGGGTGAAGTAGCCTTGCCTTGTACATTCAAATTCTGTTTTTGCCTCTTTTCTAACCACGTGGACTGAACCGCTCCTGTCGACGACTCTTACGATTCTGAAGGGTGAGAGATGGACATCTCCTAGAAAAAAATTGATTAGTTGGTTATCCCGGCGCAAACCGGCAAGACTGATCAGTCGTGCGGGTTTTACCTGAGAACGGCGTTAACGAGTTGTGAATTTGATCTTGGAGCGAGAGCAACTGAGCAGCCCTTGATTTCCTTGACAACTGTGTAAACGTGTTGTAAAGAGTGTCCGTGATTGGTTTGCCACTGCAGGACTTTTCCCAATCGTCGCTTTCCGACGAGGCGATTGAAATACCGGCCAAATTTCTCAAAAGAGCGTATTTTCCCTATTTACATCAAAGAAAAAAACATTTTATCTTTGGTTCATCAAGGTGATTATTTAAATATTTCAAATTTACCTTGATAGATGCACTAATGGAGTCGTCAAAAGCGACCCAATCAGTACCTTTGTAAGCATATGGGGCTGTCAGATCTTCATCACGTTCTAAAGTCCATCCACCCTCATCCATCATTTTACACAACTAATAACAAAATGAATAACGCATAAAAAGAAAAACATTACTTCATCAATAAATCTACCTGTGCTTGAGAGATTTTCTTAGGTGCTGATAAAACTGACGATCTTGGCATGTTTTGAGCCGCATCTTTGAGGTTAAAATGAAGAGCGAATGCAGGTAAAGACAGGATCATCTGGCTATGATCGGCTCCCATTCCCGAAAAAAAGTCGATAAGGGAATCCTAAAAAATAATCAATAAAACTTAATTTAATTCAAATCTAAAGTATAATCTGGACTTACAGCATTGAGAATGTCGTCGATTCCCATGAGCCTGCTAGGGTGGTATGCTAGTCCATCCTCAGTGCTATCGGTCAGATTGTAACTCGGCACAACGAAATAGTTGACATACCTAGTTAAAATTCAAAACTTTAGAAAAAGTCCGGTTATTTTAATAGGAAAATAAGAGGTCTAGTTACTTTGTAAGTGCTTTGAGGTCGTAGTGCTTAGCCAACTGCTGTGGCTCAGCCGGCAATTCCATGATGATTTCATTACCATAACTAAAAAAATACCATTTCAACGTAATTTTATTTTAATATACAATATTTCCAGTAAATAAAGAAATGATTAGCAAATTCAATAAAACTAATCCGGCCCAGAATTGCTCATAGGCCTACGAATGTGTAATCATCAATTTTAATTTTAAAATTTTGTGGTGATACTTGGTCAACAAATATTAGACACGTGCACAAGCTTTCTTGCCCATTAGCTCTAAAAGCCGAGAAAAAATAATTTAAGTTACTTTAATAATCATACAATTAATTAAGGTTTTAAGTTGATATAAAAAAGTCAGTGTCACGAGCGAGATTCGAACCCACGACCTTCGGATCGATACCACTTGAGCTATCGTGACTTCGATCAACTCGGGCACTAACTTCCCATCTCAACTCCACATTTTGAATTTTCCCTTCTTTTTGCCATTTTTCAAATGTCGTGTAAATCCTGTCACTCGGCGACAAGTGAAATGGCCACGGAGACCTTTATTGAAATATACTTCATTTTAATTCATTAAGTTCACTATTTTTATTACTACTATCACTAGTTTATTTAATTGTATGATATTAATTGGTCAAGCGGACCACGAAAAATAGTGGACTTTAATAATTTCTTATCAACTTGGTTTTCTACTTTTTTTTGTCCATGTATTTCAAGATTATTATATAATGTGTCGATTTGATTTTTATTTAAACAAAATATGATCTAGATAATTGTAAGGATAAGGGTAGTGCAAGGTTTTTATTACATGAGAATAAATATATAAAAAGTTACAAAAACCAAAAGATTCTGTCCGTGAAGTAGGTCAAAAAAACACGAATTTTTATTGATTTGCCTACAAAAAAAAAATACAACGAGGAGTTTATCTTTCAAATATATTTTATATATTTTTTCTAATTTATTTGAAGGGCCTACGTTTGGGCTTTACGTGTAATTTATAACCTTAAAATGTCGTATAGATAGGTAGAAATGTTTCCAAGTTACCATTTTGTCATTTTCGAAAAATAAGACGGAGAAAAATTTGACTGTTTCAGAAGTTTATTAAACGGAAGCAACCAATATCAAATTTGTTTTTTGCTAAAAAAATATAATTTGACCTACTTTTCTAAATCATAACAAACTTGCAATTATCTATTATCGCAAATATTGAAACAGATAAACTAAAAAAAAAAAAAAAAAAATCACCCCCTTTTATTAAAAACTTACTTTGCCGTATCTTGTTTGCCTCCGTCGAATTTCGCTTTGGCTCGTTTCGTCGATTCAATTTTGTGGAGGGACTCCGACAAAGCCTGAAACAAAATAAAAAATCATTAATTTTTTAAAGTATTTAGAAATAAAAAGATGCGCTCTGTAATAAATAAAAGTTTGTCTACTAATGTCCTTTCATTTGAAATGGGCTCATGGGCTTAAAACTGGCCCTACTTAGATACACAACGCCCCTGTAGTTATCTGGCTTATCTGATGGCCAAAGTTATTCAAACCCTTCGTAAACACAGGACGACGGGATGAATAGAAAATTAGTTTTAGTATTAAATTTGCGTTGACTTATTTTCGTGATATGGTTTTAAAATAATGTCTAATATGCGCCGTCGTCTTCTGTCTATAAATAAGAAACGTATGTGCTTATTGCGACAGGCCCATTTAAACTTGGTCCAGAAAGAGAAAACCCGGCCGGCATTGTATTCAAATAAGGTCCGATTTCCATTTGTCGTCAGTTGCGCTCTTGTAAGGTCATTTCGGTTGTAATCAAACAGAAGAGAGTTTTTATACACATGTCGAACAATCAAAACCGTTAAATATACTATCCTCATCTACCATGACAGAAAACTTAGAGTACTTGGACTTTGACTGAATTATTTTATGTTTCACACAGGTCATATAAACCCTCAGGGTGCCGGTGTTTTTGAAATAAACAAAACATTTATAAGTATGTCGGTTTCGAATGCAGGGCCTCTGGATTCGAACCCAGGACCTTTACCTTACAGTGATGAGCTTCACGTCCAACCGTTGCGGCCACCGACACCCCCGAAATATTTTCTTTAACTCTGTGCTAAAAACGATGCATAATCTTAAATCTAAATTAGTACCGTAACGACGATGGAACTAGTTATCTCTAGCTATCGTTCGTTAATAAAAATTTCACTGGCATTTTTTTAAATTGAGAAAAATAACGAGTTTTTAACACCAGCAGTTCAATGATTTAATCTTTCATTTTTCCTTATTCTCTTCTTTTCCTAAACAATGTGTAGATGAACACATGTCAACAATTAACACTGATTACGCTATTTAAAACTTCTGTGAGTAGAATCTTTTACAAAAAATGATTAATTCAGTTTTTTTCTATGTTGTTAGGGTTCCGTTTTAAGTAAATTTTAGTGAGTTAATTTTTTTTCTTAGGATTTGCTTGGTTATGTTTAACTACGTTTAGAATAATTCATAAGCTATTTGAATTTTCCTACCTTGTCTATTACGTCTATATGTTTTGCAGAGGTTTTCTGCGGCGTATTGTGCGTTCTTTCTTGTCTTTATATTGTTTACTTTCAGTTTATGTTTGTGCTGACTCTCGTATTTATTTATTGGCTTTTCTTTTCTACCACCCTTATAATTTCTGTATAGAAGCCATCTGCAGTTGATGTTTGTACTGGTTCTTGCATTATTTTATATATTTTTTAAAATTTGTTTATTTGATATTATCGATTTTTTATTAGTGTATGAGGATTGTATGTTGCTTTCACTCTTTTATTAAGTTAATGTTTGACTTTGTAAGTTGCGAAAAATTTAGTTATTGATTGTTAACAGTGATGTTGTTCTTTATGCCGTTATTTGCTTTTTGGTTATGTCCAATTTTTTTTCTTTTACTCTCTTTTGTTTTTTTAATATAGTACTTTTTCATTCATTCATTCATTTTAAAATATGACATCTTCAGTTTTTATATCTGTCGCGATTTTGTATTTTCTCTTTCTATTGGTTTTTATTTACATACTATTTATCGTATGTTATGTTTTGACCCTATTCAGTTGATCTTGTGTCTTGCATTTACCTGTCTTCCTTCGGTGGATGTCGGCTCTTGCCATTTTTTTTTTTTTTTTGTGGACGTAACTATTGTTTTAAACATTATTATAATAATGTATAGTGCGTTCTTTCTTCCTAGGCATCTCATGTTTTAACGTACTTTTGTTTATTTTGGGATTTGACGAAAGGTTGTTAACATTTTACGGTTTTGTCTTGCCATCATCTCGGCTGTAATTTTTTTTTTTTTATAATTTAATTATTTATATTATTTTTTATAATTATAAGTAATTTTATAACCTATGTTGGTATATTTTTCATCTAATTAATTCAGTTTGTTTCCTGATTTTAGTTGGTTTATTGTTTTACTCTGTATTTATGTATTAATAGATAAAACTTAGTTTTTCCATATTAACGTGTAGGGAAATTAATTCGTATAAAGTTTACACCCACACCCAGGCAAATCTAGTAGATCTACACCTTCAGATTTTATTAAAGGATATGATAAATTTTATATTGTTTTACTTATGATTTCTAGAGTAGCTGATTTCTTCTCCCCTGCATTTTTACATTACACCTCGATGGTATACCACATACCATCACTACGAAACCTCAAGATCGTAAAAAAAAACAGTTTCGCACATAAAATATGACATTACAGAGTTATTTATAAGTAGCAGTAACCACAGGGTCCAGCGAGCGAAAGTCAGTCCTCTTTTGCAGATCCGCCGCCATTTAATTCATCACCGGACACTCCCTGCAGAGCGTGAAAGTAATGTGTGGGTGAGTGGAAAAGTAAAGCACTTATCTCCTCTCGGACTATTTGTTTCGATTAGAAAGGCTGTTATATCGGTTTGTCGGATGGTCTTTCTTTTTTTTGCTCGACTAGGAAAGGACGGCGGAGGACACCCACATCGCCTTGATGATTCTGGTACGAGCTTTTAGACTGAGATAGAATTCAAAGGATAAAAGCACTTAAAGCAGATTAAGCCGAATGGCAAAATGCAGAAAAGACAGTCCATAATTATAGACGACTAAAGATACCACTGAAAACAATTTTCAAACGACTTATACTGGGGCGTCGATGACTGCAACGGTTTAGGCATCTAATGGCAATCTAGGCTGTAAGATAAAGGTCCCGGGTTCGAATCCAGCGGCCCTGCATTCGTTTACATATATGTTACGCATGGCGGGCGACCAGGACCCGAGGGGTTAAAAGCCTGGGTAGGCCCGTACCCCATCCCTAAAAGGTCCGGGACCTGGTCGGCTCACGAGTCCTGCATAAACCTTTTGGACCTATTCACAAACCCTAGGATTGTGGACCATTTTATCCTGGGGAGTGTTTTGGTTATGTCCTCTCCTTCAAAAGTATCAAATCCTTCCCTAGCATACCTATCGCATTCTGCAAGGTAGTGTCGAGCCGTTTCTTCTTTTGTTTCGCAGAAGCGGCAGAAGGGGTCTGGTAGAGTACCCATTATGAAGAGGTGTCTTCTCAAGGGGCAATGGCCCGTTAGGATACCTATCAGCCTCCTAATTCCCCTCCTAGAGTTAGAGAATAACCATTTCGTTTCTTGTGGTTTGATTTCCTTCAGAAACTCCTTCGATTGCCTGCATCCGGGGGACATATTCCATTCCTTAAGGAATTGTTTCATGCCCCAGCAACTCGAACCCGACATACTTACAAATATTTTTTTTTTCAAAAACCCCGGCACCTCGAGGGTTCATATAATCCCGTAGTTGAAACAACCTCTTAAAAAAAGAAAAAACTTATAAACTACAATTTAATCTAAAAATATGAACGCACAATACAAAAAATACATGGAATGAGAAAAAGGCGAGACGAGACGGACCGAAATGAACTAGAACGAAGAAAAATCAATAATATTTTTTTTACAGTTTCATTTCTTTCCTATACATATTAACCATAAGCTGAACCGGCGGTCACTTGGGTTCTTCTTCATACGCAGGTTTGTTGAATTGGTCAAACCCGCGAGTGAAGACGGACCCAACGCCTTGATCCTTCAATTCTGTTCAGCATGAGTTCACCCATCGTCAACACTGCACATTACAACTGTTAATAATTACAAATGTGATCAGAAAACGTTTTTACACACGGTCACAGCACTAACACTAATATTAACCAAATTATATTTAGTGGTCTGATTGACCAAGTTACTTCTTTCAATTTTTTTAAATATTTTTTTATTTTTTAACGAGGGTTCGCAACAGCAGAGGTCATATAAACCCTCAGGGTGCCAGTGTTTTTGAAAAAAAAGCCCATTTGTAAGTATGTCGGGATGCCGCTGGATTCGAACCCGGGACCTTTACGTCAAAGACTAAACCTTGCGGCCACCGACGCCCCTACTTCTTTCAATTAACTAACATTTTTATGTAAGGTTTTGGTTTGAATGAAATGTTAGTCTCTTGAGAGGGATTGGAACTCAAGAACTTCATTTCTACCAAAACCTAACATAAAAATGTTAATTAATTGAAGGAAGTAATTTGGTAAGTCAGACCTCTAAATATAATGGATGTAATAAATAAAACGAAGTATAACTTCACTAACAGCACCCCGTGGCCACTTCATATGTCGCAGAGAATCGATCTTGATTGAAAAATGGCAAAAGGAGGGAAAATTCGGGTTATAGGTTGGGATGGGGAATTAGTGACCGAGTGGATCGAAGTCTAACGTAAGTGGTTAGAGAAGCGGCGTATTCCCCCGAAGGTCGTGGGTTCGAATCCCGGACGTGACACTAACTTTTTCATTGCAACCAAAACCTTACTGTAACCGGGTAATTAAGTCGTGGCCCGGAGTTGGTGTGGATGTTGTTGGCTCGGACGCTTTGAACTTTGGCCGGAACTGGAGCGGGCGGAGAGGAAGCCACATCAGCACGGTCAGGATTGCACGAGTCGTCCTACGAGCGTGTTCGAAGATTTTTTTCATCTACCGGACTATCGTTTCCTTTCTCGTCATCGGATACCGTCTCGTGTCTGTCTCGGAGAAGATAACGAGTGAGTGCTCACTTCAAACATTTTATTGTATGTTAAAGGCCTAAATGTTATGTATATGGTTTTAGTTTAGTTAGGATAAGTATCTTAATTTCATTTCGTTATGTGTAAATATATTTAGTTAACACTTTTATTTCTTTGTGTTTTCTTTAATTTCTTTACTTAACAAATAGTCCATTGCGAACCCTCCCGTCTCACGCGGAGCTATCTCCTGGCCGCCAATATTTCCCCCCCCCCTTGATAGTTAAAAGACTATCTGGCGCCCGTATAA